CTCAAGACGGTGTATATAAGGCTCTTCCCTCTGATTTTAATTCACAAGATCAGCCCTATGAGGAAAATTGGGTTGAAAGAGAATGACTGGCTCAAAGTTATCCAAGACTTTCTATGGTTTTCATGCTTCTAGTCCAACACCCCGTTGGATTTTGAAGGACAACCCCTCATATGATTTATGATCTATTTTTAGTTGGTTGCCTAACACATAATAGCAAAGTTAAATATCTTACTGTTGTTTATTTCTTGGACAATATCCAAAAGGAAAGAGAAATCAGAATCAAGTGCATGGGGGAAAAAAAAAAGCTTAAACTGAATTTCTGCTAGAGGAACTGCAACCTAAGGATCTCTTCCCTGCCTTATTTGACCTTCCCATAGTTCATTATGGTGTGCCGAAATCTTCTTTTCAATTCCCAGGAATTTTCTTAAAAAAAAAAAACAACCAAAACCACAAAAAACTGGTTTGTGGGGGGAAAGAAACTTCTGTTTTTTATTTCATTCTCTTATTTTTTTTCCTCTTATTTATTTTTTTCATATTATGCCGAAATGAAAAAGGAGAGTGGCACCATCAAACTTCCTTAATTTGAATCTTGAGAGGAATCATGTGCTTCTCCCTTTCATTGAAGGTGCTTATCTCTTTCATTGAAGGTTGGGAAGTTAGTGGTGGGCCATAGGAGGGATGTGCACTCTACTCCATATCACAGCACTCTGAAATAACTGAGATAATCTTACATCCATTCACAGATTTTTTTTAAAAAACCCTTTTTTTAAAGTCACTGTAATCCCTTCATTCAGCATAGAGTAGGGGTGACTGGATGGAGCAGAGCATTTATTGGCTGGATGTCCTTCTCAACACCATGCAAAGTTTGCAGCAGATAATTTTTTTTCTTTGTGCCTTAGGAGAGAAAAACAATTGCCACTACCTAGGATTGAACCCTCAACCTTCTGGGTGGGAGGCAAGCGTGCTCACCACTATGTCACCACACTTCTCATCACTAACATTTTCTTCTTCTGGCATAGAGGTGGGGATAGGACAGGTAAGGGGAAAAAAAAACCAACTGTCTTTCCTATCCAATAGAAGAGTCTGAACATGAAAAACATGGCATAGCAGTAATTAAACTAATAAGTACCCGACATTAGCCATTGTTCTCCAACAATTCTTCTAAAGGGCCATAACTTCATATATGCTTTTATATTTACAGCCCATCATTTAAAAAAAGTCTGCTGGTACTATTCAGAAGTGTTTCCTTAGGAAGAGAATCGTTTTGTGCTTCCTTGGCAAATATGAAGGAACACTGTGCATTAATAGCAGCAATGTAAACAGTTGTGGCCTTTATTTAACACAGAGATAAATGTAACTCATTGTTGGCCCTGGAATCCTATGTTTTCATTGTTCAATGCATTTTTGTTCATTTTAGATGCTGCTCTTTCCTCAATTATTTCATGCACCGTATTTCACCTGAGCATAGCTTTGGCAAAGGTAAGCTTCCTTGCTACAGCCCACATTGGAAAGGTTAACTGCACATCTCAAACAAGCAGAGTATATCAAAAGACCTGCCAACTTTTTTATGACCTTGGAACACCTTTAGCTCCAAAGAAAGTTATCAGACCCCTGCCAAGCTCTGACATTTAAGAGTCAGGTTCAGCTTGGTTGTTTTTAATGATAATATTTTGAATTATTTATGCATATATTGCCCTCGAGGACATTGAAGTGACGCTTGTAAGTCCACAAAGCGTTGGCTCAGCCATGCCTCTTACTAAGATGGGCCTTTGTATTACTGTTGATATTCTGCTACGTAAGACATGCCACGACTATCGCAGTTCTTCAGGTAATACTGCACCAATTCAGAGACATAGTCTTTCAGGCTGAAATCAATGAAATTGTCACACAAAGTGAGTTGGGCTGTCAGCTGTAGGCAGGGCAACCCAACATATTTACTACACACCATACCACACACTATCCATCCATCTCTCTCTGTCTCTCTGTTTCATTTGCATTATGCCTGTACCAGCACATGCAGGTGGATAGTCTCAAATGTAGTTGATTGTACAGCTTTTAGCTGTTTGAGATACTTATGAACTTACACCTTACTCTGATAATTGGGCCACAAAAATCACACTAGGGGGAAAAAAAACACTTCACTATTTACTATACTGGGAATGGTGAATAGGTAGGAAAAGCTGTGTATTATCTACACATCTATGGTAAGAGAGTTTTTTTTCTCTCAATGAAGTAATGATAACAGAGCTTCCCTATATTTTCCCAAGCAAAATACAAGATTGGAACAGCATGTCAAGGGTATAAAAATAAAGAATATATTGGCAACACAATCCACTTTTATGCACTTGGCAAGTTTGTCATTTTGCAATCCTTAATGCTGATAGGCCAAATTTCAGCATTTAGATTTACAGCATTTAGATTAGGTTGACTGTGATGGGGGTCCTAGAAGCTAAGAGGAGGAATGAGTGAAGAAATCACTTGGCCCTTCTTGTGTAGGAAAGTGATATGCCAATCTTTCTTAAGCAGTATTCCCTGCCATGAGAGGAAATATCTTTGTCCATAGATACAGGTCTGTTGAAATTGCTTCCAGTTACAAGCCCCTGAGTTACATCGTTTCCTCAACTTAATAGTTGTATAATCTTGCTATTGGAACTGACTTTCATCTAGGATATGGGCTACATATGACAAATTTTACACATGTATATTCTTTTAAACTGAAACTCTATACAAGTAGGGATCTTCCATCTCATAGGACTTTCTAGTATCTGAATATCAGAGAAGAGGGACAATGGGTAACCAGCCAGAATGATATTCCACCTTATTTATATGATGACTTTGAGACCCAAGGAAAATGTTTGCAAGAGTCTACTGTAAATTATTATATCTAGGGTATCTAATGTTGGCAGAAGCGCCTGAGATGGAAGTTAAGAAACAACGCCCCCTACAGAAAATGTACATTTTGAAAGGAAAACACAGCATCCCTTCTTAATCTCATGTTTTCCTCTATAGCCAAGGAAGAGTTTTCCTCAATGGTTTGGACAAGAATATTTATCCCCTATTTCCTGGCAAGGGGGACACGGTGGCTCAGTGGCTAAGATGCTGAGCTTGTCAATCAGAAAGGTCGGTAGTTCGTTGGTTTGAATCACTAGCACCGCATAATGGAGTGAGCTCCCATTACTTGTCCCAGCTTCTGCCAAACTAGCAGTTCAAAAGCATGTAAAAATGCAAGTAGAGAAATAGGTACCACTTTAGTGGGAAGGTAACAGCATTCTGTGCACCTAGGGCATTTAGTCAGGCTGGCCACATGACCATGGAAACTTCTTTGGACAGAGCTGGCTCTTTGGCTTTGTAACAGATATAGGCACTGACCCCTAGAGCCAGAAACTATCACGCATGTGCAAGGGGAACCTTGACCTATTTCCTGGCAGCAAAACTGGAAACTGAGTTCTAAGAAATCTGTACAGGAAAACATTAGGAGTCTTGTCTTAGAAGAAACAAAAGGAAGTGACCATCTATCACATCATTTCCATTTATGTTGTCCATAAAGGGATATTTATTTTATTATACCAGTATTTATTTATTTTATTTTATGTTATGTTATTTTTATTTTATTTTATTATTTTAGAAAATTTATATAGTCACCCAATTCACTCTCAGTGCCTACTTTTTTTTAACAAGGATAAAATCTTAATACAAAAACAATAGATAGATAGATAGATAGATAGATAGATAGATAGATAGATAGATAGATAGATAGATAGA